ATGGGACTGTAGCTATGGAATAGCAGGGCACAGTGAAGGATGGGCTCCAGATCTCACCCAAGAGCTGAGTTTTGAGCATTTTGCCCACCAGGAGTTGGGATAATGAACCTAGGACAACTCCTGTTCCCTTATGTCCCAAAGATGCTTATGGAGGAACCGCAACCCTACCCGAGTAGGAGCATAAAGACCATGTTTTGTGCTCGTCGTAGTTGCTCGTCGTAGCACACCAGAATTTTCCAGGCAGCATCTCATTCTGGATGCAGGAATAGTGCAACTGCCCCTTGTAAATAAATGGGAACACACATTTGGACTTCGTGTTAGTCCAGGACGTATCTGCAAAGCAACCAAAGTAGACCAGGTTAATTCACAGATGAACATAAGTCCCACAAATCTGCCTAGTCCCTGTGTGTACGAACTGCTCCAAAAGACATTGATCTCTAACTGTATAGATCCAGTGTGACCCAAGCTGTCCCAGAAGTTAATGCCTACTATTTAAAAAGCAAAAATCGATACTCCAGCCCCAGGATGTCTCTGTTTAGCTCCACGAGTTAAAGCTTCCCTATCCACATGCAGATTCTTGGGCTCAAAAGACAACTTTTAGTGTTTGCATAGCTTCTAATCATTTCATTTTTCCTAGAGTTCCTGACTTCTCCTCAACTGCATCACTCTTTTTTTCCCCTACTGAATTCTGGCTAATGCATGGCAGCTGCTACCCAATTCTTATATACTTAATACTTAATATTATTATATACTTAATCTGTTTTTTCACTGGGAGGAGAACAAAGAAAAGGAGATATTTACACATTTCAGGGCAATAGCTCCACAGTTTATCTTGATCATAATTTCCAGTTGCAGCACACCATGGATCTTCATTATCTGTTCTGATGCAGCTATAAAATAGCTTTTTATTATAGATGAAAGGAAAAACACATCGTCCGCCATTGGAATTTCCTCCATACTCTAAAAATATAAGCAAGAGAAAGAAGAGGGTAAGCTCAAAAATGAAGAAAAAAAAA